GCTGCCCAACGCCGTCCCACTGCATCTGGTGTGAATGGGCCATTAAAGTGGTAGTAAACTTGCGTGGGGGGGACTTCTGCAAGGTAATATAATTTGCTAGTACGCATCGCATACTAACACATTATGAAAGACTTCTCTTACAACGAAGCCCTCCAGCAGCATGCTGTCACCGCTGACCAGGCTTCTATCCTCACTCGGTCTTCCCTCTGGGTCCGTGCCCTCTGACCACCCATGTCACAACCATGGCATAGAGCTCTGAAGGGATGACCTGAGTCCTTCAGAAACACTGAATATCTCCCAAATGGTGCATATGTGGGAGATATTCCTTGTACCTACGGGTAAGTTTATAATAATGCTAACCTGTAGGTTACAAGTGTCCAAGCTGTGTTTACTACCACTTTAAACATCTTTCATAGTTTAGCATTGCACATAAGCCTCATTTATTTAGAATTTAGTTGATGTAAGCACTAAAAGGCCCAGTGTTAAAGTCCGTGGCATGGCCACAGAGGAAAAAAAAAGCCAAAAGAAAAAACAGTGATGTGCTCTAAAAATGTATTTTGTGAAGTCAAACAAATCCCTATTCATGTAAGTGACAGGTCATCTGACACCTGGTTCTCCCCCCACTCAAAATCAAATGATCATCCTCTACACATTCACGGTATCTTTTCTGCAGCATTATGCAGAGAACAGTCTGTGGGACACCGCAGGCTGCACAAGGTGACCTGCATTTTATAAACCACTCCTAAAACTCAGGTGTGGTGTGAAGTAAACACTGTGGGTGTACAGTGGATAATGATATCCACTTTCCCTATAAAGAGACCTCTTCATTTTTCTTTTCCAATAATGTTTATTGAATGTTTACATACAATATAGCCAATAAAGAATAATATAAAGGCCTTCAGCCTGCAAGTGGCCCAGTTTGAGGTATCCAACCATAAACTGGGACGGTATGGCCTCACAGGAGCTATACAGTGGGTACATAGAAATAAAGATAATAATCAGCCTTAAAACCAACCAAGTGGTGATCATAAAGGTACTAAGGAAAATTATCGACAGCCATACTATCAAATCATTAACAAAAGTTGCCATGGGGCGACAATTCTGGGCAACACACCATTTTAGGGGCCGCAACTTTACCCATCCAGTAAAGATGTCCCATGGATGACCATATGTCCACTTAACATAATGATTTGTGCATCAAAGATGAGCAACTGTTTATATAAAGATGCTATGGAGGGAGTTAATTTGATCCCAATGTAGGGAAGGGCATGTGATTTTTGTCAGGAAAGATTAAACTGTCTTTTCAAACTTGACAGGACATCCTCATCCAGATTTATATTTCGCCCAATTCACCCCCAGACCAGAAATGTTTAAAGTGAGTGAGCAAACCCATAAGTGATATCAAGGAGGTATGGGGGGGGGGGGGGGGGGGGGGGAGTGTGTGCGAAAAGCAGATCGTCTGTGAAAAGTTTGCATTTATGCTGGATACCCCGCTCTTCACACCCAGTTTCGCGCTGATGAACAAGAGTGGAGAGAGCGTGGCTGAAGCGATTGAGGGGCGCAGAGGTATAACCCTTCATGTGGATTTCAGCTGAAGGATTGTTGTATAAAGTCCCCAAAAAGGACATAAATTTAGGGCCGAACTGCCACTTGGATAAAATTGTAAACAAACATGACAATAGCATCTCAAATGCTTTCCTGATGTCCAAAGAAAGCAATAGACCCTTTTGCAGACACCCGCACCCCCCATTCTCACAAAAAATTAAGGATTGAGATGCTATTTGTAGCCAAACGGATCTGATCCGACGCTGTCCCGGTTGAACCCGACCTGATCACGATGGACGTAATGTGCAATGAAACCATTCAAGCGAGTGGCATAGATTTTTGCCAATATTTTCAAATCTGAATTAAGGAAATTGGCCTATAATTAGCTACGTCGCTTGGGTCTTTATTGGGTTTGGTATTGAAACTAATAAAGGCTCCATTGGAGTCACTATCTATAGGGACCCCTTCTCGGATTGCAATGAAATATAGCACTAAATAATGATTTAAATGGGAGCAAACATTTTCTAATACAAATCCGTAAAGCCTTCCAGACCAGGAGCTTTTGGTTTGATTTGGGGAGAAGTCTTAGTGGGGTCATTGACAGAAAAGAATTCCTTCAAATGTTACTCTACATCAGAACAAATGGAACAAATCTCTCGAGTAATTTGTTCCGTCTGCACGAGAATGAAATAACAATCTCACAAAAGGCACAGAGCATCGCAAAGACGGGGGAATGGTCAGACCAGGGGACCTCAAACATTTTTAGACGAGAACAACAAAGGGACATCCTGGGATGGTCAATCCTAGAATATGTGGAATGTACAGGGGGACTATACCCCTGTACATTCCACATATTCTAGGATTGACTATATTTCGACCCCATTCCATTGATGTCCCTTTTTTGCTCTCATCTAAAAAACTTTAGGGTAAAGTCACGCTGAGTGGAGTTACATTCTCACCACACGTTGATCAAATCCTAGTGATGTAACAGCTGTGCGTATTTAGTGCCCACTCTAAAATCTGAGAACCCGGAAGTCTAGATTTATCTAAGGTCAAATCCAGAGCTAGGTTGGAGTCTGCCCCCTCCTAAGAAAAGGGATCCGACAAAAAGCTGAGATAGTGTCTGCAGGGTGGATTGCAAAAAGGACAGTTGGTCAGTGTTAGGGGAGTAAAAAGAAACAAAACTCACTTTAGCCCCCTCAATCTTGGCCATCACCAGCAGGTACCTCCTATTGGGATCCTTAACTACATTGAGTGGTGAGGAGAGGTTTTTTTCGAAATATAGATCACCACTCCGTGAGTCTCATCAGGTGAAATTGCCAGAAAGCTTTGGGAGTAGAGGCCATGGAGAAAGGAGGGATTAAATGTATCCTGAAAATGGGTCTCCTGTAAAGAGTACCACCTCAGTCCCCACAGATAATGAAAGGCCTTGTGGTGCTTGACGGGGGAATTTTAGTCCCTGTGCATTGTGGGAGAGAACCGAGATTGGTTTAGGGGGTGTAGGCGTAGCTATGGTAAGTGTGTTCAAAAATCAGGCTTACCTTTTTGAAGAGCTGGTGATAACGAACCACACGCAAACCAGCTGGGATGAGGAGGAGCAGGCAAATCTTTGTTTTTCTATGATCAAAGTTGAGATGCTTTTTGAACAGTGTAGTGTTTAAAGAGGAACTTCACCCCTTGTGTGCGTGTGTATGGTGTACTTTTGTTTTTTTGTTGTTTTTTTTCTTTTAGGGTTGAAAATGAGTTAAAACACCAAACATTATATAGTTTCTGAAAGCAAACGCCCTGTAGAACAAAATGGTAGTAGTCCCAGTTTTTTATGTCATGCAATATTTGCACACCGGTTTATCAAGTGCAAAATTTCAATAAAAAAATATACTAAAGTTAATTTTAGGGTGCACAAACACAATTACCCAGCGGTTTTTTTTTTTTGTGTGTGTGTGTAAAATATTTTTAAAAGTTTGGTTTCTCTAAGTAAACGCATACATTTTTTACCCTAATGCATTCCCTGCATTAAGGTAAAAAATTTCCCACTGCTTGTTCCTTCCCCCCTCCCCCCCCCTCCTCTAAATACTTGAGCCCTCTCTTGATCCAGCGCTGGTCTCTGTTCCTCTTCTCAGAGGACAATTGATGGCTGCGGGAGCCATAGGCTGTTGCTGCTGTCCATCAAATTCTGTGAGGAGGGAGTGGGGGATGGAGACATAAGGCACTGTGTATTTCTGTGGACGCACACAGCCTGCCTCAGGAGCGTGCCTGTACTTGTTCCCCTATAGCAACCAGCTTGTTATAGGAGCACACACAGGAGGGGAGGAGCAGACAGCGACAGCAGGGGACTGCAGAAGAAAGAGGTAAGGAGCAAATCTGTGCAGTACTATTGCACAGGTCAGGTGAGCATAAACCTCGGGAAAAAAATTGACTTTGCAATAACTTAAACCATATATTTTTCCATTGGTGATGATTTAAAAGCCTCTACAGGTCATCGGCTTCGAATTAACCATGAATAATAAGCCTAGAATTATTGCTCTCACTCCTATGCGTGCGCGTCAATATGTAACGTGTATGGCAAGTGATATTTTCGTATATAGGTGCCCCGATGTGTGTTGTGTTCGTGTGTCTGCTAATGTGGAGGTAGTGCAGGCTAAAAAAAAAAATTTGGGGGGGGGGGGGGTGTTTTTAAGCACTTACGTGTAACTTAACTTTACTTTTTGACCTTTTTTCTGCCTTCCATTGAAGCCAGTGGAGCACAGATAGCTCTCCATTAGATTTTTCCCTGGTCAAAAGACAGGAAAGTGATGCCAGAAACTTGAAGTAATGCTGTACACATTGTTTCCGATGTTCATTCTAGCTAGGGGAACCTCAGCTGCCAGAAGTGTGTAAAACCCCCCTCTGCCGCTGCTGTAAGGCTTAACGAAGGTGCAATGCAAAAAGTAGTACAGTACGTAATACACAGCAGATGTCACAGCTAAAGGGCACAAACCACGTAACAATGACAGGTGAACTTAAAATGGTCAGCTTTTATTCAATTATCTAAAACCTTTAGCCTGTGTTAACATGCATTTTTTTTTTTTGTAGCAGAAGAACGCTCCTGGGGAATTATTAGTCATTGTCCAAGGATTGAACTTGAAGATGGAGTTCGACTTGGTTGCCATCACCATTCAAGCCTGAGTCTCCACTTTCCAGTCCTCAGCAGGGAGAACTCCCCTAACCGCAGGAGCCCTTCCCAAGAGCCTGAGGCATCCAACTCTGCGGCTCCTCCAGCGCTCCCCCTACGAAGAGACACTGCCGCTCTTTATCAGTGCCAGAGGACCTATCACGCTGGCGGCCTATTTGGAGGCCCAGTGGGTCTAAAGTTTGGACTCCTGTCAAGAGGAGATGTAATAGTGGTGGGGTTGGAGCAGTACTAGGGGTGCAGACTCAAAGTCCATCCCAAGGGGTCTCCAATCTCAGGTTTCAAAATGACCCCAGTGCCTCTTTACGATGCATCCAAGCCAACAGCCCTCCCTTCTTCAGCCTGGCTTTGTGCCGGGAGTCACCAGGTCCCTACACCCTTTCCCCAACCACTATATTTTGGGAAAACACAGAAGGGCCAAGTTGCTTTCCATTGCAGCGCCGTTTTTCACTGTCACCAGTACTCATCAAGGAAGCAGGACGGTTCCTCCCTTCAGCCAGCAGCTCCCCACCTTCCACGCCAGAGCTGGTCCGGAGACAGCAATGTCTGCCTCGTAGCCAGTCACAACCCTGTGATCTTGACACCAGGAAATGTGGAATCAAACGAAGGCACGAGGAAGATACACGGTGGCATCGTCCTTCTCTGGACTTCTACAAGATGAACCAGGTAAAGACTCCCAAGAAGTGCTTTTCATTATATGTTATTGATATTGGCATTATAATCCTTATTCTTGTAATCAACATGCTTTTTATCATTATTTAAATCTTTTAGGAGAGCTCTAGAAAAAGAAAAATGGTTAGGCCTCCTGTTGACCTTTTTTTTAATGTAATTTCTTCCTGCCCTGTTCTCAATCTTCCTTTCAACTGGCCATAGGTGGTTCGAATCTCAGCAGGGACCAGCTGAGATTTGATCCAACGATAGGCAGGCTGATTGTACCCAAGAAGATCGAATTGGGTATAACCAACATGTCTGATATATATTATGCAATTTTTGCCAGCGGCTATAGCTGCTAGCAGTAATCATCGTGTTCTCCTAGCAGGGATGGCTCTCCACGCCCTCTTTCCCCAGGCAGGAGAGCACAGTAGCTCTGCAGGAAAGATTCCCCCATCAACACTCACTGTGTTGATGGGGGAATCCAGCGATTTAAATTTTTTTTTTTTTTTTTTCCCTTTCTGCAACCCATGGTCTCAGGAGAGAAAATCGCATCATCTATGCCCTGCCTTTGACCCCACCACAGGTAGCAGAAAATTAAAATGCTTTATTCCTATCGCGGTGCTATTGTGTTCTCCCGGCAGGGAGCCTTCTCTGCTGGCAGAACACGATTAAGGTTAGCAGCTATAGCTGCCACCTAAAATTGCATGTAAAAAATCTGACCGACTGGTTGTACTGGATCAACTTTAGTACAACCAGCCTGCCCATAGATGGATTGAATTTTGTCCGGTCCCTGTTGAACCAGCTGAGATTCGATCCATCCATGGCCGGCTTAAGTCTCTAAGGTCCTGTTCTTCTTAAGAATGTCACCAGCTGTATTTCAGTTCCCCATAGGAGCCTATTGAGAGTGTGCTCCAGAGCAAGTAATTGTGGCTTTCAGTTTACAACAATGATCTGGGTGTCAAAATGACAGAAAAGGGGCAGAAATACTCACAGCAGGGATAAAAACGGCAATGAAACACTGGGGTTGATTTACTAAAATAGTAAGGCTGAATACTTGGCAAATTAAATTTTCACTATGCAAAGTACTTTTCTTAGCTTAATTAATGAGATAAATCTCTGTTGATCATAGAATTATGTGCAAGCAAAAATCCATCTAATTTTTAAATTTCTCTTGCACATGATCGGGTAATTTTTGCAAAATGTATTTTCACAATTCTCGCAAAATATTTTTACAATTCTTGTGCAAAGTAAAAATTCACTGTGCAAAGTGAACATGCTCTACTTAGTATATAAACCCTATTAGGTCTGTCGATCTAACCATTGACAAGTTTATATTTTTGTTACTGTGAGAAAAAAATGCTGAAATGTCACTTTACAAAGTTTCTCTTGCATTTTTTATTGGATTATCTGATATGTAAGCAGCAGCTCTACAGTATCTGCTGTACCAGGACATGCTATGAAGTGGCTATTTTCAGAAACAAAAATTTAAGTTTGTTACCATGAGTCTTGCTGCTTGAAGAATCTGACCTCTCCCAAGATGGTTGGATTTCTGCCGTCACCCACTGCTCGCTATGGTTTGGTCCACCAGTCTTTCCATCACTACTGTGTCTTGTAGCAATGTAGGAACCAGTGGGAGGAACCACAGCATGCAGTGGGGGACCATTAAATCAATACTTACTGAAGAGTCGGGACTCTACAGATTCTTCCACTAGGGTTTTGGGTTTTTTTTTCAGCGGCATGGGCAGAGGAAGAGATGTCTTCTTTGCAGAAAACTCTAGAAATTTATTTTAGCAGGAGTATGTTAAAGGCTTAGGTTTGCATTTTGCCATGTAGAGATGCTTGTAGAGCTGCCTGGCCTTGTACGTAGTGTTGGTCTCCCTTAAAAATGTCCAAATATTAAAAGTGTTTTTTTATTCTTTTCAGAATGCTGGTGCTATGTGTTTCTTGGACAACTCGGATGAAGGCAGCTCATCTCCTTTTATGGCTTGCCATGGGGAGTCTCCTTGCACTTCTGGAAGTCCTGTCACCACTTGCACACTGGCACTTAGTGAAGAAGATATTGGTAGGAGGGATCATTCCTCCTGCTCCCAGGCAATGCTCTTCCAGCACGATTTTGCGGACCTGGATTTAAATCTAATTGAAGAGAATTAACACTCTCAGGAAACATCATACTTCAAATGGAGTTATTGTAAGGTGGACATAGTGAGAGTCTAAGGCTGCCAGGCACCGCCAGGAGACTTGCACCAGGAGCATTCCACAAACATTCTAAACTTCATGACTTATAGATATTGTGTGGGGGTGTAGGGCAAAAGAGAGTGAGCAGAAAGCTTTGTCCTTCTTTTTCTTTTTTTTTTTTTTTTCCTAAAGGAGAAGCCTGGAGCTGGGTCATATGAACCCCCAACTACCCTTCTCCATTCCCAGTAATACAGCTGGAATCGGGATCTCCCATTACTGAGTTACAAACTTCACATAAAGGGTGCTGTGGGATTGCTTTATTTTTTTACAGATGGCTTTTGGAAGGATGTTCTGCACTGCCCTGAGGGGATCACATGCAAATATAGGTGTGTGATTAATTCTTCATGCTTAACTGACTGTTGGGAAAAAAAAAAAAAATAACCAACAAGATGGAAAATCTGGTTGTGCACAAAGGCTGAGGCCTTGATTTCAAATGAATTCCCCGAGACATGAGTTTAGAGCTTCACACCAAGGAAGCCAAATCCCGTGTGTTCCGTTCAGAACACTTTCTTTTGTTCTCCAATTCATCATGAAGAAGGCTGACAACAGAACAAATGTTTCCAATTGTCGTATGTGTGTGGTGTTTATTTTTATTTTATTTTTTAACTTTTGGGTTTTTTTGTTTTTTATTTTTCATTATTTTATTGATGTTTGCCTGTGGCAAATGTTTTAGAAGCTGTAATGAATTTGTTCTTAAACATTGCTGGCCAGTTAAAAGGAAGCTTCCAGTTCACCCTGAACCTATGTTGCCTGCACTGCCATCTTAGTCATTACATGGCCATGCCATTACCTCAGACAGGTGTTATATTTTTTTTATTTCTTCTGCCTACACAATCCCTCCTGGGTGTCACCATCCCATTACCTCCTCAGGTATGAGTCTTGCAGTGGGTGTATGAATGATTGTATTATTCTTTAGTGTTGATGAGCCCCCCAGAACAGTGTCTCATAACCGCTTAATGAAGGAAGTAGTCAAGGTGTCATGTCCTCTCTGAATGTTGTTGGTATATAGTATGCTACTATATACAATGTATTGTACAGTAAGTATTATGGTATATCCTGACAAAAGGATGGGAATCAGCCTGTGTTTGCAGTTACATATAACATGGATGTGTATGAAGCCATTATACTTTTTGGTGGATGTGTATGTGGTCATATACTTGGTGGATTCTGTTCCTTTTTGATATTTTTTAAAACTTGCCAGCGATTTGCCTAGTCGCAAATCCAGTTATTTTAAAAGATTTTTCTCTAATTTAAAAATAATCAATCTCCATTTTATCTAATGGTCTACATTATTTGCTCCTATTTAAACTATATGTGAATGCACTACATCAAACTCGTGATGTAAAACAGGAAATATATTTTAATTTCCATATTCGTATTTAGTTATTTAAAAAATAAACTTTTACTTTTTTCATGAGGGTTTATTTGGTGGTCAAGTGACCGCACAGCCTACTTTCAGCTACTGTTTCGCATTAGGGAGGAGGTCCGTTCATGATGTCAGACAGCCAACTGCACTTCTCTACTGGCTATCAGCAGCTACAATTTGACATTGAGGCTCATGCTGGGAGCAGCTGTGAATCAACTGATCTGGGCAGGGAGCAAGGCAGCCAAACGGGCTACAGAAAATACCAGCACAACATCCTAAATCTAAAAAAACAAAACCCTGAGACTCCAAATGACCACACCAGCAGGGATCTGCTTCTATGCTTTGCGTGGTCAGAATAGAAAAGTAAAGAAGTGTGACTGGCAAGATCACCAAGTATTATGAAGATATGAAATGAAGATATAACAGATTGCATTTATTTAGTTCCACATGAACACAGATGTGTAGAATAAATAATACATTTTTAGGTTACATACACTTCAGTCATTAAAGGGAAGTCTTGTGAAATTCCCACATGGTTTAGAATTTAGAATAGTCTTCGAGCTCCTTGAGCTTATGAACGACAATCATTTGTAGTGTTTGTGAGCATCACTTATTTTATATATATATATATATATATATATATATATATATATATATATATATATATATATATATATATTACTCAAATGGAGCCTTTTAATAATCATATTACCATTTAGGCCTCATGCACACTTGAGCTCAAAAACTCTGCTTTTACAGGCATATGAACTTTTTTTTTTTTTTTTCCCCCCCTGCCGCCGACATATTAACTGTGGGCAACCGACTGTGACTGCTTTCGACTTCATAGCCAGCTGCTCACTGCATATGCGCAAGCCACGCTGCGCTTTGAGAATGGTCCCGTAGCCTTCTGGGACCCTTTGACTTGTCCCAGAAGGATGTGAGCAGGGAGGGGAGAGGAGAACCTCCACTTGGATTACCTAGGCATTCTGTGTGGAAGTGTGAGCAGTTACCTGTCAAAACAAAGTACCTGCTTGTGCCCCCCCCCCCCCCCCCAAAAAAAAATGTGCCAAATGTGAAAGAGGAGAAAGGGGGGTGAAGTTCCGCTTTAATATTCTGGCCAATGAAATAAAGTCTCAAGCTCTTGACGTGCAAATACGTGGCTTACGGGGGGATTTGAAGCTGCTTTTCTCCTGCCAGGACGAAAGTGTTTATAAAAGCCTCAGGGTGCATGAAGCCTTAAAATGTAATAATTTGATTACCTCCCAAAGAAATTCTGCTTATGACAAGCATATAATGTGAAGATAGGTATTGAGAATGCAGCACGTAAAGGAGATGAAGACTTTTTAGCGTCTATCCAGTCATCACCTTAGTGGATTTTTAACGTTTTTCACCACAGCAAAAAAGCC